GGAGTCCAGTGGTCCTTACCGGCCACGCGGACGCTTCTTGGGCTGACGACCAGGCTACGCAGCGGTCGTCACAGGGTTACACCTTCAGCCTTGGTTCCGGCTCTGTCTCGTGGCGGTCTACTCGCTCGTCTTCGGTTCTCGGCTCCAGTTGTGAGGCTGAGATCTACGCCGGGGCCATGGCTGCACAGGAGCTTCGCTGGCTCACCTACCTGCTGACTGACCTTGGAGAGCCACCTCGTTCTCCTCCAGTGCTGTACGTAGACAACAAGGCCATGCTGGCCTTGTGTCGAGAGCAGCGCTTGGAGCACAGAACGAAACACATTGCTCTCCGCTACTTCCTTGCTCGTGAGCTGCAGCAGCGTGGTCAGTTGCGACTTGCGTACGTGGCCTCTGAGGCCAACACTGCTGATGTGTTCACCAAGGCACTCGCGCCTTGTGACCATCAGCGCTTTTGCACCCAGCTGGGTCTTGTGCCTGTCTTGCCTCACTTGCTCTCCTCTTGACTTCACTTGTACTGTGACATATATATATACCTGCTCTTGCTTGTCTAGTTTTATATATATGTTTGTACTCCTGCATGTGAACTGGCCTCTGGCCCTGCTCTTGTGCTCGGACTGTGTGGTGACTTTGTGATCCACCCTGAGCTTGCTTTGCTTTGCTTTGCTTGACTGGTCTTGTGACCCCTTGTTCTCCCCCACTTTGCCTATGGGGGTGTGTCAGATTATCATAGCTGATGCATGTTTGTAGGCTATAGTGGGGTAGCACATATGGGGTACAGCTTTCTAGGGTTGTATTTTTACCCAACTCTGACTTAGTCATTTCATTCCTGTTTTCCTTGCTTCACATTACTCGCTCCACCTTTTCCCGTATGGCCAGTGGCGTGCCGTCGACTAAGCGTGCGTCTATCTCAGGTAGGCAACGGTTAAGTGTTAACTGTAGTTTTCGTGCGGTTGCGGTATTAACTAAACTGTGACTCGCTCCTCCATCAATAAAAATCTTCACTGCTGCTCCCTGTATTTTCCCGTGGATCAGTACTGGGCAATCCGTCGCTGTACCCTCCTTATTCATCTGAGCCCGATCGATGGCGTGAATCGGTACTGTGACTCGGTGAGGGTCGGTGCGGTTGGGCGAGCAGGCAGACTCGTCAGTAGTTGGCCCAACTTCTACTGACTGCTGGCGTTTCCCTGCCTCTGAGACTCCCTCCCCTGCTCTGCTCCGCGGCGCCTCAGCTCCTCTGGGCATTCGCTCTTGCGATGGCCCGGCCTGTTGCAAGCAAAGCAGCGCCCCTTAAACGGTGCGGCAGCTGCATTCGTTGCAACGGCGTGTACAGTGGCGTGCTCGGTCGGTCCCCGAGGGCGATGTCCGTAGTAGGACCCCGGTCTCGGTCGGCGTAGAATGTCAATTTTCTCGGCGAGTGCGAGAATCTCGTTGAAGTTCGAGAGTCCGCGCAGCATGATTTCGTGCGAGATATCCGGCTTCAGCCCTCCGACGTAACGGTCCACCCGCTCCGCTTCGTGCATGTAGCCGATCTGCTCGCAAAGTGCGAGAAAACCGCTCGTATAATCTTGAATCGACCCGAGCTGCCGCCAAGTGCGCAGTCTCTGACGCGCCGAAATGGAAGCCGCAATCGGCTCGAAGCGCGCCCGAAGCCCTGCGCACCACGCATCCCACGTGCTGTATTGGGCGGTCTCGCAGAACGAACTCCAGGTGACAGCTGGACCCGTGGGCCCTTCCTCGTGCGACGGTGGCTCGTAGGCGCGTGGTGACGTCACGATGACTCGCCACCATTCCATGGCGGGGCCCCTTAGCAGCGAAACTGCATACCGAATCTTCGCGGCGTCCGACTCGACGTAGTTCGCGTCGAAGAAGACGTTCATCGTGAAGACCCACGATTGAACCGTCGGACCTCCACGTTGGCTTGGGTCGAAGCAGGGCGGGCGTTGTGGCTTGAGCGGCATTGGTGCCATAATGGCCTGTTCGCCACTTGTCACTGCGAATTCCACATGCCGACGGGCTTCACGGGGCTCCCGCGGGCTTTGTACGACCCTGCTTCCTCCCATGCCAGGCATCGGCTGGGCGGCGCCATCACTGGCTGCGCCTGAGTGCTGTCCCATGCTCTCGTGTTGCGTTGGTGTGCCGGACGAAATGATGATCGGCTCGTCCGATTGTGAAGATGCATTTGTCAGTGCGTGTGATGTCGCTGGAATGTTCACCGTGGATTGTTGACGGGCGGAGTCACGTTCCGCCGTGAGCGTCGCGATTTCGAGCGCCGAGTCTTCAAGTTGGCGCACGAGACGATCAAGCTGCTCCTGCGTCAATGTGGCAAGCGTGAAATCGGCCATGGCGGGGGTGTCGGGCGAGCTCAGCGAGAGCCTCGGTCGTGGCCGTGCGTGCTTACGAGAGAGCACTACGAGCGGCGGTGCTGTATCGCTGAGAGACGTCTACCCCCCCCCCAAAAATTGAGATAGTGGGGAAGCGAAAATGTGGGTGCGGTCCGAGAGGAGATCGTAGGCTCTGATTACCAAGTGTTACGAGTGCAAATGAGTAAATGAACGGGAATTGCACTATCGAAGCAAGAATACAATGAGCGAAGGCATGAGCGAAGAATATATAGCGAAACTACAGTGGTAACGGTAATGGACTGTGGTTGTCGCGTGACGGGCCTGGGACTGAGGTTTGGGAAAGTGTCGAAGCGGAGGCCCGGAGCGTGGGTTACCAGCCGAGCCGTGAGGTTGGGGTGCAATGTGCGAAAATGGCGGGCTGATTGTCGATGCGAGGGTCGCGAGTGGTAACGGTGCTGACTGTGGTGCTATAGTGATGTACGCGTTGAGCAGGGATGCGAAGTAAGGAAAAATGATTTTCCTCACACCCTACTTGTTTTGAAGAAACTCTCGCAACCCCAGGCAATCGTCCTGCGACAACGGAACCCGAGTGCCCAAAAACAGAACTGACGCGATGATCGCCAACCATATGCACTGTTCACCACTCACATAACTTGCTTACCAAGTCGTTCTCATAGACTAGGAGGCTCCTGTCAGAATATTATCTTATTGTTCTAGCCTGTAGTGGGGTGCTCTATAGCGAGTACAACCCTTCTAGGGTTTGCTATTTGTATCCTCATTCTTGCTAGTTCAATCCTCTTTCTTCTTCTAACTTTTGACATGCTATCAGAGCAGGTCGATCCCCTTGGATCGATCCTGTGGGTGTGTCCCCACCTTGCTTCCGCTGCTATTTTTTCCTCCCGCCGTGCGCCCCGAGGCGCGCGGCGGTTCATTGCCCGCTGTGCGCCCCGAGGCGCACGGCGGGCTTCTCCCCTACGTCGCGGCCCCGCCCCGATCGTCGCGGCCCCGCCCCTTGACGCGGCCCCGCTCTACGTCGCGGCCCCGCCCCGGCCCGTCGCCGCCCGTGCGCCTGCCCGGCTCGGCCCCGCCCTTCGTCGCGGCCCCGCCCCGGCCTGTCGCCGCCCGTGCGCCTGCCCGGCTTGGCCCCGCCCTATGTCGCGGCCCCGCCCTACGAAGCGGCCCTGCCCTACGTCGCGGCCCCGCCCCGACCGTCGCGGCCCCGCCCCTCGTCGCGGCCCCGCCCCTGCGTCGCGGCCCCGCCCCTCGAAGTGGCCCCGCCCTACGTCGCGGCCCCGCCCCGACCGACGCGGCCCCGCCCCGGACCCTACGCGGCCCCGCCCTACCTTCGCGGCCCCGACCTGTCGCGGCCCCAACCGACCGTCGCGGCCCCGCCCTACGTCACGGCCCCGCCCCGACCGTCGCGGCCCTGCCCCGCTCGTCGCGGCCCCGCCCCTTGTCGCGGCCCCGCCCTCCCCTCAGGTCCGTGGTGCCCCCCCCCCCCCCCCCCCCCCCCCCCCAATTCCCGTCGCCTGTCGCGGCTCCTTCGGGGGCCGCAAGCGGCCCCCTCAGGTCGCCTCGACAGGACGACGGGAGGGGCGAGCTGTGGGGTGGCGGGTATGGGGGTGACCGGTGTGCCTTCCTCCCTTTCTCCTCCTCCTCCTTCGTCTCCCACTGCTGCAGCTGTCGCTGAGGGGGGTGGTTGTGTGGGAGACTGGGTTTAGGGTTTAAGGGGGGTGCGTGGGAGTAGAGCTAGTGATGTAGCAGTGGGTGTGTATCAGGGGGGTGGGACTGTGTGCGGGAGGATGAGCGGAGGTTGCCAGTTTGTCGTCAGCAGCACCTGTAGTCCGGGGCGCTGTCCCGGTAGCCCAGTCGTAGCCAGCTGTGCCAGCCGCCCGTGGGTCCGTTGCCCGTCCGCCGCTATTTGAGCCGCGGGGCCTGTTACTCCTGTAGTCCGGGCGCTGTCCGGTAGCCGCTGTGCCAGTCTGCCTCCTGTTGCCCGTGTGTCTGCAGCTTCAGCCGTCGCCTCTTGTCTCCTCTCCCCTCACTCTCCCTCCTCCTCCTCACTTGCCCGTTGTGACTACCACTAGCTTTGCTTATAATTGTGAACTCTAAACTATTTCTTCTTGAACTTGTGCTCAGAATGTGTGGTGACATTGTGATCCACCCTGAGCTTGTTTTGCTTTGCCTGCTCTGCTGATTACACCCCACTTTGGCTATGGGGGTGTGTCAGAATATTATCTTATTGTTCTAGCCTGTAGTGGGGTGCTCTATAGCGAGTACAACCCTTCTAGGGTTTGCTATTTGTATCCTCATTCTTGCTAGTTCAATCCTCTTTCTTCCTTCTAACTTTGACAGCTCCAAGACAAAAACTAGCGCTAGTTGGCAAAAGCGAGTTGTTGTTAGGGCTTTTTTTTTGTGCGGAAAAAAAAATAGGTATCCACCTCAACCATCTTAGTCAGTGCACGCTCCGATTTCCCCCTCACGTCGCCGGTCTCGTGTTACAACCCGTTCACCCGCAGCACTTACGTTAGTGAACAATCGTCGCGTTACTCGCGCCTTGCTTTCCAGCTCGCGTCGCACAAGATGCTCTTTTCACACTTGCTGCGGTTCAGCCTCGCGTCCCGATCGTACCGTTTTAGGCACGGGTCGCTCACGCGAATGCCGTACAGGGTCGCCAGACGCGCGCTGCCGTTAGTCTCATATGTTTCCCCTCGTCGGCCGCTCTTTCCCACGTCATACCGCTTTCCTCGTCGCCCGCAATTTCCCTCATCTCCCTCGCCGACCCTCGCTGCCCTCGCCTCTGCTTGTCGCCCGCGCTTCCCGTCGTCGCCCTTGCTTCCCCGTCACCCGTGCTTCCCGTCGTCGCCCTTGCTTCCCCGTCACCCGTGCTTCCCGTCGTCGCCCTTGCTCTCCCGTCACCCGCGCTTCCCGTCGTCGCCCTTGCTTCCCCATCACCCGCGCTTCTTCTCATCTCTCGCTCTCCTCCTCAACGTCTTCGTTTTCCTCTTCGCCATAACGCCCTCGCTTCTGCCCGTCGCCCTCGCCTCCCCACATACCACCCGCCTTCCTCCCCACATTCTATTCCGCTTGTCATACGCTCTTCTCCTCTTCCTCCCTTCCATCTCTCCCTCCCTCCCTCTCCCTCTCTCTATCTCTCTTTCTTCGAACCTCTCTCTCACCCTTTCTTCCACCCTTCTTCCTCCTGAGGGGAAGGGACTGAATGAGAGACACAGAGGGGATAGGACAGAAGGGTACGCAGATGTTCTTTTCCCCCACGCGCTTCCCCTCATCGCCCTCACTTCCCCCAAATTGTTGCCCCCTGTCTCTGTTTTTCCCAACCACCCATTCTCCCACCAGCCCTGCTTCCCCCTTTGCCCTGATTCCTTCCACCTTCTGCCCTGCTCCCCCCCATCCCCTTCCCTGCTCCCCCTCACCCTCTGCCCTGCTTCCCCTCATCCCATTCCCTGCTTCTCCCCACCCCCTACCCTGCTTCCCCCCATCCCCTTCCCTGCTTCCCCCCATCCCCTTCCCTGCTTCCCCCCATCCCCTTCCCTGCTTCTCCCCATCCGCTTCCCTGCTTCCCCCTACCCTCTGCCCTGCTCCCCCCCATCCCCTTCCCTGCTTCCCCCCATCCCCTTCCCTGCTTCTCCCCATCCCCTTCCCTGCTTCCCCCCATCCCCTTCCCTGCTTCCCCCCATCCCGTTCCCTGCTTCCCCCCATCCCCTTCCCTGTCTCCGTGTTACCCGTTTCCTTGTCCCTTTTCCCTGTGTCTCCCCACCCTCTGTTCTTATTCCTTCACCCTCGCACACCTTACCGCCTGCCGACCTTACCGCCTGCCCACCTTACCACCTTCCCTTCTCATCCGCGCGCAGGTGTGCCCGGAAGGTGCACGTGCTGCCTTGTGCCTGCCGCTTGCTGTCCACGCCTTCCATCCCACCTCTCCCAAACCACGTCTTTTTCTATATGTGCCTCCCCTGCTGGCCCATACCCTCTGCTGATCTGCGCCCTATGAGGCCGTGCCCTCTCTGTTCCCCGCCCCTGCATGTACGGAGGAATTGGGAGCCGCTTTGCCTAGCAGCCAGCACTGTGCAGGCAAGGATTCGAACTGGTGGATCATGGGGCAAGGGTAAGGGAGTGTGTTGTGCGGCATGGTCAGTGCGGAGTGGCGTGGGAGGGAGGCAAAATGGCAAGCACAGGGTGAAGGCAGGCAGGGGCCGTGGCAAAAATATGGAGATTGGCAGTGTCAGCAGGATGTGCGGCAGGATGCTGGCGGCAGCGCACGTCAGGGCATGTGCGGTGGGGCAAGGCTGGTCTGCGCTGCGGTGGGCCAGGGGAGTGCAGATTGGTGCAGGGAAAGGCACGACATGTTCCTATGTGGCCGGCCGAGACCCTCACTCTTACTCGCGTGAGTTTCGCGTTCCCCACCATTTCAACCCCAAGAGAAGCGCAGTGTGCCCCACCAGTGCTGGGGCGGGAGCAGTGCTCTGTCGCACACTGGGTCGTTCGGCCCTCCCATATCCTCGGGGACAGCTGTCGCATAGTATCGTGGCGAAGACTGTTTTTCCCGCCTCCTGAATTCGGTTTCGCCCCACACACATTTTCGAAATTCACGATTTTCAGGTTTTCGCCTAACTGTTTCAACCCCACATAACTTGAAAAATTACCATGCTGACCTCGGGCTTTAACATCTATTCAGTCTCGGTCTCCTCGTCAAATGATAACAGCGAACCAACCCCCTTCTGTGTTGTCATCTGCCCTCCACTCGCCTTCTTTTGGTTCTTCCCTCCCTGCAGGCCATGAGGGGGAGAGCAATAGGCAGTGGCAGTGTGAAGCAAATCAACCAACAAGTTAAAAGAGCACTGGGCGGTGAAGCAATGAGAGCTTGCTGTGTTCGCAATGTGTGAGCAATTGTATTGGCAAGAGTGCTGGCAAGTGTTTTTGGCACGAGTGCTGGCAAGTGTTTTTGGCACGAGTGCTGGCAAGTGTTGTTGGCACGAGTGCTGGCAAGTGTTTTTGGCACGAGTGCTGGCAAGTGTTTTTGGCACGAGTGCTGGCAAGTGTTTCTGGCACGAGTGCTGGCAAGTGTTTTTGGCACGAGTGCTGGCAAGTGTTTTTGGCACGAGTGTTGGCAAGTGTTTTTGGCACGAGTGCTGGCAAGTGTTTTTGGCACGAGTGCTGGCAAGTGTTTTTGGCACGAGTGCTGGCAAGTGTTTTTGGCACGAGTGCTGGCAAGTGCGTGAGAAATTTATACTGGCAGATGTGTGGGCATACGTTTTGGGTAAATGTGCTCCCAAGTGTGTGCTGGCAAGTGTGTGCTGCCAACTGTGTGCTGCCAACTTTGTGCTGCCAACTGTGTGCAGGCAAGTGTGCAGCAGTGGTGGTGGGCTGCTGGCATGAAGCAAGCACGCAGGCACGATGGACGGCATGCAACAATAAAGATTCTAAGCTGGAGCTTACGGAAAAGGAAAGATAATATAGAGCAGTGTGTGTGCTGGAGGTTGGTGCTCGCATGGAGGAAGGGGAGAGGAGGCGGGCGGAAGGGGAGGGAAAAGGAGGTGGCGAGAGAGGGGGAGGGGGACGGATGGGAGGGGGAGGGGGCGAAGGCGAGGAGGGATGAGAAGGCTGTGCCAGGGATGAGAAGGCTGTGCCAGGGATGAGAAGGCTGTGCCAGGGATTGTGTTGCTCCTGCCTTGTGTTCTCCCTTTTCCACTTCTCCCATGTTACCCATGCCTCCCATCCCCATGCCCATGCCTCCCATCCCCATGCCTCCCATCCCCATACCCATGCCTCCCATCCCCATGCCTCCCATCGCCATTCCTGCTCGCCCCTCACTCCGTGCCTGCATGCCCCTTGCCCCATTCCCGCCTGTCAGTTCCCTCTAAGCCTATCAATCACTTCTCCCCCCACCCCCCCCCCCCCCCCCCCCTTCCCCCTCTCCCCATCCTTTCCTTACCAGCGCATCTTCCCCCTTCCCCTCCCCTTTCGCCCCCCCCTCTGCTGTTTTCCGCTTGCGAAACGTGTGTTTCCCACTCTTGGCCTCCTTCTCATCCTCCTGCTGCCACCTCTCCCGCGCCTGGAGTGGCAACACACAGCACAAGTGGCAGTTACACAGACAGATACACTACGTAAGTCATCATGTGGGGCAGCTTTCAATACTCAAGACGTGTGCCTCCCACTCTTGGCCTCCTTCTCATCCTCCCGCTGCAACCTCTCCCGTGTCTGCAATTGGGAAATGGTACAAGTGTAGCGAGGTTGTTTTTGAGACGTCTCAAAAACAACCTCGCTACACGTGCAATTGGGAAATGGTACAAGGTGATGGATCAACTCTCAACTCTAATACGTGTGCTTTCCAGTCTTGCCTCCTACTCATCTCTTTTGAGCCGTCTCACAGAAGTGGTCTTTATCTCTACTGACACAAGAAGCATTTGGAGACTGGTTCCTAGTTGACACGACAATCAGTTGCGGAGTGTGGCTGTTGCACACCTGTTGCAGCCCTTGAGTGCAAACGGTGCTGAGAGGGTCACAGTTAGCGTGACAGTTGCTCACCTGTTTTGACGCACCTCTTACTCGTCTCACTTCTGACGGCTACTCACCTGTTGCAGCCCTTGCCTGCACACGGTGCTGAGAGGGTCACACTTCAGCCCCTTCTCGTATGCTGCTGCTGCCTGCAGTGATATCCAAGCAGGGAGAGAGAGAGGAAAGAGTGGGTACACGCAGTTGAACCGAAAGTGCAGATTTAACTTTAAATCGTTCATCTCTCGATCCAATTCACCGGTACAGTTTCAATCCACCTCTTTCGGTATATTTTCAACTCACCTCTCTCAGCAGTTTCAATATACCTCTCAATAAAGTTTCCACACTCCTCCCAGCACAGTTTCATCTCACCTTTACGTACAGTTTAGTACACCACTGCAAATCCACTCTAGATACTGTTTCATCTCACCTGTACATACTGTTTCATCTAGTCTCTACGTACAGTTTCATCTCACCTCCACACACTGTTTCATCTAACCTCCACGTATAGTTTCATGTTTCATCTCACCTCCACACACTGTTTCATCTCACCTCCACGTACAGTTTCATGTTTCATCTCACCTCCACACACTGTTTCATCTCACATCCACGTACAGTTTCTTGTTTCATCTCACCTCCACGTACAGTTTCATGTTTCATCTCACCTCCACATACTGTTTCATCCCGTAATGCGCCACTGCAATGCGAGAGTACGCCTTGGCCCACCGCGGCTGCAGCTGCAGCGCCTGGATAGGGGGTGGAAAGCAGTGCAGAGGGGTTGTAACGCACAGGCTTGTAACGAGTATAGACAAGTGCACTCACCTTCCTGCCATCGTGCAACGCCTGCTGGAAGTTCTTCATGGCTGCATGTGTGCTTGTAACGCACATGCTTATATCCAGTACAGAGTAATGCTGTTACCTTCCTGCCATCGTGCAACGCCTGCTGGAAATTCTTCATGACTGCATGTGTGCTTGTAACACACATGCTTAAATCGAGTACAGACAAATACTCTTACCTTCCTGCCATCGTGCAACGCCTGCTGGAAATACTTCATGGCTGCATGTGCGCTTGTAACGCACATGCTTATATCGAGTACAGAGTAATGCTGTTACCTTCCTGCCATCGTGCAACGCCTGCTGGAAATTCTTCATGGCTGCATGGGCGGCTGATCGGTTGCTGAAGAGAACACTTGAGCTGACAAGGGAAGCGGGGGAGGAGACAGGGAGAAACATGGGAGGTATGAGGAGCAGAGCAATGGGAGTGAGGGTGTTGGTGCTCTTCATGGCTGCATGGGCGGCCGATTGGTTGCTCAAGAGAACACTGGAACTGACAAGGGAAGCGGGGGGGAGTGGCGGAAGCGGGGGGGAAGGGAAAGGAGGGAATTTTGGAGAGTGGAATGAGGGTGGGTAAGCATGGCTGCATGGGCGGTTGGTCTGTTGCTGAAGAGAGCACTCGAGCTGACAAGGGGAAGGAGGGGAGGTGGGGAGAAGTTGCGGCAAAGGTGGGGGCATGGTGAATGGAAGTTGGGGGAAGGTGTGTGGTGGGTGGATGGTGGGTGGAAGGTGAGTGGAAGGTAGGTGGAAGGTGGGGCATAGGTGCTCGAGTGAAGAGCCCCACAGCGTCCTCGCCCCATCCCCATCCCCATCCCCATCCCCATGCCCATCCCCATGCCCTGCCCATGCCCATCCCATGCCCATCCCCATGCCCATGCCCATGCCCATCCCCATGCCCATGCCCATCCCCATGCCCATCCCCATGCCCATGCCCATGCCCATGCTCATACCATGCCCACCCATCCCCATGCCCACCCATGCTTGACAAATGTCCCCACACACTTGAATGGCTCGGGTGAAGAGCCCCACTGCCCCCTCGTACTCGCCTCTCACAACTCCATACCCCCCCATAACCCCCCAAACCCCCCCATACCCCCCCATGCCCACCCATACCCCCCCATACCCACCCACGCCCACCCATGCATGTGAGTGATCAGCAGCAGCTGCAAGCCCACCTGGGGTCAGTCTGAATGGCTCGGGTAAAGAGGGCCCTGCTGCCCCCTCGTACTCGCCCCTCACACCCCCACCCCCACTCCACTCCCACTCCCACCCCCACCCCCATGCAAGCCCACCTGGGGTCAGTCTGAATGGCTCGGGTAAAGAGCCCTGCTGCCCCCTCGTACTCGCCCCTCACACCCCCACCCCCACTCCACTCCCACTCCCACCCCCACCCCCATGCAAGCCCACCTGGGGTCAGTCTGAATGGCTCGGGTAAAGAGCCCTGCTGCCCCCTTCTACTCACCCCTCAGACGTTGCAGGGAGTTTTTGAGAATTCTCAAAAACTCCCTGCAACTCCTCAGGCCCCACCCCCACCCCCACCCCCACCCCCACCCCCACCCCCACCCCCATGCAAGCCCACCTGGGATCGGCTTGAAAGGCGCGGGTGAAAGTGAAGAGCCCCATGCCTCCTCGTACTTCCCCTCACATGCCCATGCCCACCCCCGTGGTTGACTTAACAAATGTTCTTACCCCTGACGGGAAGGCACACCTGGGGTCGGCTTGAATGGCTCGGCTAAATGGCTTCACTGCCTCCCTGTACTCGCCTCGGAAGGGGGGTGCATTGCCCTATGCCCCATTCTCCTAGGAACACCTGGGGTGGGGAAATACACACCTAGGGTACTGCTGGGAGAGGCACACCTGGGGTCGGCTTGAATGGCGCGAGTGAAGAGTCCCACTGCCTCCTCGTATTCGCCTCGAGAAAATGCCGCATTGCCTTGCTCTTTCAACTGGTGATGATGATGATGGCGTGCCATCATGCCATCATGCCATCACGCCATCATGCCATCATGCCATCATGCCAACATGCCATCATGCCATCATGCCATCATGCCATCATGCCATCATGCCATCACGCCATCACGCCATCACGCCATCACGCCATCATGCCATCATGCCATCACGCCATCACGCCATCACGCCATCACGCCATCACGCCATCACGCCATCACGCCATCATGCCATCATGCCATCATGCCATCATGCCATCATGCCATCATGCCATCATGCCATCACGCCATCACGCCATCACGCCATCACGCCATCACGCCATCATGCCATCACTGCCATCACGCCATCACGCCATCACGCCATCACGCCATCACGCCATCACGCCATCACGCCATCACGCCATCATGCCATCATGCCATCATGCCATCATGCCATCATGCCATCACGCCATCACGCCATCACGCCATCACGCCATCACGCCATCACGCCATCACGCCATCATGCCATCATGCCATCATGCCATCACGCCATCACGCCATCATGCCATCACGCCATCATGCCATCATGCCATCACGCCATCACGCCATCACGCCATCACGCCATCACGCCATCACGCCATCACGCCATCACGCCATCACGCCATCATGCCATCATGCCATCATGCCATCATGCCATCACGCCATCACGCCATCATGCCATCATGCCATCACGCCATCATGCCATCATGCCATCACGCCATCATGCGATCACGCCATCACGCCATCGTGCCATCACGCCATCACGCCATCATGCCATCACGCCATCATGCCATCATGCCATCATGCCATCATGCCATCATGCCATCATGCCATCACGCCATCACGC